GATTTCAAGAAGGCGAATTCGCTCCTTCAAGGCAACAATAGTCCTTGGTGGGTTGTTTTCGAACACCTTGGATTTCACGTAACCCCAAAAAAAAAAAAAATCAGGAGCCGTCAAGTCCGATGAACGAGTTAGGCGTGGGAAGCTTCGGTGACAGACTCTCACAATGTGTGGCTAACCAAGGAAGGCATTTGCCCGACACCATCTTTAAAAAATAAAGTTTTTAAATATATAACATAAAATTCCACTTGTTTACTTTTTATTTGTTCGGTGAAAAATTAATAAAAAAATTTTTTTTCTATTTTTTTATTTTTTCAAATCGTTGGATTTGACTTCCGCACCCTGTATTTGCAGGTTCATATGAAAAAAAACCTCAAGGGTACTTTAAATACCCGGCCAACACTGGATTATACATTAATATAATCACAGGCACATTTAAAAAAGTACTTTGTTGACAAAATCTCTAATGGCCCCGAAGAAAGAAGGAGAAGAATTATTACTACTCTGTCTTGAAGCAACTTCCTTCATGCGATTTAACGCACTACCGGCTTTAAACCATTCGATTTGTTGTTCATTAAATGTATGGTTTAACATGATTTCGTCTGCTTGTCCATCAATATGACATAAGGTACATCTCAAAGGCTAAAAAAATAAAAAAATAAATATAATTTGAATTAAACAATCATTTAGAGTTATTTAAAAACTGTACAATTTGTAATGGATAAATTAAACGAACAGGACTTCAAGAAGAAATTATAAAAAATAATATATTTAAAACTCGAGTAAATTTTGTTTTGGTACTGCGTGTTTAGACTTCATGGAATGTTAGTATTAATCATTGATCAAAATAACACTTAAACTAGTTGAAAACAGTTTTACCTTTCCCGGCGAAAATTCGTTCAATCCAACTATGGATACTAGGTCGGTGGGTTGAACTTTATCATAATCAGTGGCATTGGCAAAGGTTAAAGCTAGCAACCCTTGCTTCTTCAAATTTGTCTCGTGGATACGTGCAAAAGATTTAACAATTATTGCACGTCCACCCAAATGCCGAGGTTCTAGAGCAGCGTGTTCCCGACTACTACCCTCGCCGTAGTTTTCATCGCCGAACACTACCCATGACATGTTTTTCGATTTATAGTACCTAGCTGTGTCTGGTACAGAACCACATTCTCCGGTTATTTGATTCACAACCATGTTCATTTCGTTATTTTCTGCATTGGTTGCCCTATGAAATGGTAAAAGGAAAATGTTTATAAAATGTTTAAATAAAACACGATGATTATAATTAATTACGTAATGAACATGTTGTTTGAAATATTGTCTAAATGACCTCTGTACTTTAACCATGGACCAGCAGCGGAAATGTGATCAGTTGTACATTTTCCTTTAACCTTATCGATATAAGTACATCATAAATATAATTAATTAGTAATCAAAATATAATTTAAAATAGAACATGAAGTAAAATTTATATATATATTTAAACATACTTTAATAAGAATAGTTAGATTTTCCATATCTTTATGGTCCCAAGCTTTAAACGGCTCCAATAATTGCAAGCGATTTGATGTTGGATCAACTTTTACATTAATTTTTGATCCATCAGAAGGTGGAGCTTGATATGTATCATGGCCAGGGTCAAAACCTTTGGACGGCAATTCATCGCCAAATGGATTACTTAATTTAAAATTTTTACCTGCAAAATATAAGTAATTTATTAGTGTATATAGAATTCGATCAAAACCAATTATATGATTATACATAAATTTCAAACCCAGAATAAATAATTTTGGATACTTTATACTTTTTTAATATATATATATATACACGCTTTAAATATTTATTTATGGCATTCTCTAAAACTAAGTTACAAAACTTCTATAAGACATTAAAATACTAATGAATTTAAGATTTTTAATAAAAATAATTTTATTTACAACATAAAGTACCAGAGAATTTAATTATAGAAACTATTAAATTCACTATTAGAAAAATTTGATTTTACTCATAAATTATATTGTTAAATTAAAAAATATAATTGTTATCAATGAGTTAATAAACAAGAGCTTGATTCTAGAATATATAAAGGTTCTTCTAAAAAATTTAAAATACCAAATGTTTTAAAATATTTTATCACTTAAGTCAATTATTCATAACTAACCATCAGCTCCTTTAATCGAATCAGTTACTGGATTGAAGTTTAGACGTGCTTCAATAGCTAAAGCAGTAACAAGCTCAGGAGAAGTGACAAAAGCATGTGTTGCTGCATTAGCATCGTTTCGACCAGTGAAATTTCGATTATATGAACTAACAATGGTATTTTTTTCTCCTTTTTTTACATCTTTACGGTCCCATTGACCAATGCATGGACCGCAAGCATTAGCTAAGACTGTACCGCCAAAGTCTCTTAAAATTTGTGCCTAAATAATATCATAATTTAAAAGATAGCCAAAAAATATTAATTTAAATAATTATATACGATTCCATCTCTTTCAATAGTTGCCCTGATCTGTTCTGATCCAGGTGTAACATTAAATGGAATTTTTGATTTACGACCATGAGCCAAGGCTTCTTTGGCAATGGTGGCACATCTTGCCATATCTTCATAACTTGAATTTGTACAACTTCCAATAAGTCCTGAAATAATAAATATTTGTTATTTGTGAGGAAAAAATTTGAAATCGTAATTAAAAAGGAAACAAAATATTGTGTATGTATATCATATAAGTAAAAAATGGGTTCTTTAGTTAACAAATATATATATATTTCTTTCAGATTTCTCATTCAAACGATAGTCAGAGGCGTTTTTAGATATTTTTTTCACTTAGGAAAGGAAAAGTAAAGTAACATTTGTATCTCTTTCGATAAGTAGAGAGAATTAATTCTGTAGAACGTTTTTTCACTAAGCCAATTCGAACCATTAATAAAGTGACTATTAATTACCACACTGTTCCATAATAAATATTTGAATAAATTAAATTTAACTTAAATTAAGAATTTGCATACATTGAGATTTTCGTTTATTTTAAAGTTATATCTCCTAATATTACATTGATACAAATGAGCTTAACTGTAAGAAACTTACCAACTTTAATTTCATTGGGCCAATCATTTGTTTTGGCATTATTACCAAGTTTAGATATAGGGTGCGCAAGATCAGGTGTGAAGGGACCGTTGACATGTGGTTCTAATGTCGTCAAATCAATTTCAACTAACTATAAATTAAAAGTAAAAATTAAAACATTAAATCGTTGATGACACTGAACATTGTAATGGTTAATAAAAATAATTACTTGATCATAATGACAGCCTGGATCAGGGGTTAATAATGTTTTGCTGTACTTAGCAGCTTCTTCGGCAATATCTGCACGTGAGGTAGCTTTTAAATAATCGGCCATACGATGATTGAACGGGAACAATGATGTTGTTGCACCGATTTCAGCTCCCATATTACATATTGTACCCATACCTATAAAAATAATATTAAAGAATATTAAAAATAATATTTATAATTTCCAACTATCAATATGTTTACCTGTGCATGAAATATTATCTATTCCAGGTCCATGATACTCAATTATAGCACCAGTGCCACCAGAAACTGTTAAAATATCCGCAACTTTTAAAATAACATCTTTTGGTGTAGTCCAGCCCGTCATTTTTCCAGACAAATGAACACCAATAACCTAAATAAATATACGATTATAGATAAAAATGTTATTAGTTTCATTCTATTTAATTTTTTTTTTTTTTTTTTTTGCGAATTTCCGATTACAGTTGTATATTTATTTAAAACTTTAGTGACCTAATTTTTATTTTGTTTGATAAAATAATACCGCGTCAAGTATATAATAATTTTTTTTATAAATACACATATCTGAAGTACCACCAATGGGTAAATAAATAAATAAATCAAAAAAATATTAAATTTATTAGTTCATAATTACTTTTGGGCATTTTAATTCCCATGGTATGTCGGCCATGACGTCGACAGCATCTGCGCCACCGACTCCAATACACAAACCACCAAGACCACCACCATTCGGTGTGTGGGAGTCAGTGCCAATCATTAATAAGCCAGGGAACGCATAATTTTCAAGAACAATCTAAACAAAATATGATTACATTTTTATTTTAAAAATTGTATTGGAAGAACAACTGTTAAATATCATAATATGTTACAATAGAACTGTTAATATCTTATTTTTACTTGATGGATGATTCCTGAGCCAGGATGCCAAAATCCAACTCCATATTTGGCACTGGCGGTTTTCAAAAAGTCGTATACTTCTTTATTTAAATCTTTTGCCCGTTTTAAATCTTCCACTCCACCAACCTGTTAATCAACATTTATTTAATATAAAAGAACATAATTTTTATATAGCTTCAAATTACTTGAGCTTCAATTAAGTGATCGCAGTGAATAGTGGATGGTACAGCGACTTTAGGTAAACCTGATGATATAAATTGCAACATAGCCATTTGGGCAGTTGCGTCTTGCATAGCTACGCGATCCGGTCTTAATTTTAAGTAGGATACACCACGTTCAATATCTTGATTAACTGGATCATCCAAATGGGAAAATAGTATTTTTTCCGCCAAAGACAATGGCTTTCCAATTCTATAATAATTAAGGATTGTAAAAAAATAATAAATTGAAAAAATGTTAGGAAAAAAAAGGTTATATATTTTATACACTTAATACGTATTTAATATATAATAGTAAAAATAAAAAAAATGTGTGTTTAACATTGTAAAGAATAGCTAACTATTAAATAAAACATCTTGATCTTTAAACATACCTTATACATTCTTAATCGAATCGCGATTAAAATTAAAAAATTAATTAATTAAAAAAAAAATGGTTATATTAACAAAAACACAATAAAAATTCTAGTGTGAAAGCTGTGAGATTTTGGGGACATCGATCTTTGAAATCTCAAGTTTGTAAATAGATGTGCCTACATAATCAAACCTACATCCTAAAAATCCGTGTTATTACTATCGACATAATTAATATTATTCAAAGATCCTAATAGAACACACGACACACAAAATATTTTTTGAAATATTTGTGATATTTAGGCTGCATTTGACATTATATCCTGATATCATGGCCGTACCTGGGGGGGGGGTGGCCCCCCCCCCCCCCCCCGAAATTTTTCGCGTTATTTTATGTCGTAATAAAATAACTATTTCAGTCTAGAATAATCGATAAACATTGATATGTGCATATACGAATGACAGCTATGGTCTACGTTATAAACTTAAAAATAACTTCACTTCGGGTGTATCAGTTGAATTTCTTGATAATATTATAGGTACATACTACATAGGTATATATGTATAATACATTACCACCAGAATGTGTAATCGACAAAGAACTATTTCTTAGTATTTTAGTAATTTTATCTCAATAGTCTTTGATAATAGTTAAAACTTTTTCACGGGCAATATTCATTTCCAATATTTAGTTGACATTTGGTTTACGTTCTGACGTTTTAGTGTGCTACGATTTACGAAGTGTTTAATTTATTTATTTGAAATGGCAAAAAGACAAAGACAAAAAGATTTGTTGAAATTTTCCAACCCATTGTTGAAACTTTGGAAGAATTACAATTAGTTCAAGACATCAAAATACGTCATCAAAATCAATTCAATTTTATCGAGCAATAGTTACTAGTGAATTTATATTAAGTATGGTTACATCAAATACTCTGTTTTCAATGACACTTCCACTGTGTAAAAGTTTACAATCAGTTAGTTGTGACTTAGTAGAAGCTGTACAACATGTCGAGACAATACTAAGCGAATTAATTCATTTACGTGAAAATATTAATCATACGTTTAATGACATTTTTGAAAAATCTGAACTTCTTTTAAAATCTATTGATGGAGAAAAAAATATTAGAATTCCCAGAATAGTAGCTCGTCAACAAAATCGTGTGAATATTGTTACTAATTGTCCGAAAACATATTTTCGTATAGCTATTGCAATACCATTTTTTGATGATTTTATAAGACAATTAAAAGAACGCTTCACTAACCATAAAAAAATAATATCTTCGCTGTGCTTTTTACTTCCCAA